GTGATAGCTAATAAAATGCTCTGATGTGCTTACTCCAGGTATGTTCTCAAAGTAACAATCAGCCGTGGTTATGCTGGAAGTATAGTAGAATACCATGACTTTGTGGTAACCTCCCTGTCCCCATTCTTATTATGCATCCCTTTGTTTGCATGTCTGATTCTGCATAACTTTGAGTACCTTTATATTTTTTTTTTTGGCTTTGTAATCTTATAGCATGTAGTAATTGCGTTTATTATGGATCAGGTTCGCAACTATTCTCCACTACCGTCAATTAACAATAGTATCAAGGTCAGTTGGATATAATGTTTGCTATTTTCTGATAACCTGTGTATTATATAAAGATTATTCTGATAAAAAAGGCTCAGCTTTTTGTATACTTTTGCTTCTAAATTTCTGATGCAATTCTTTATCTTTGTTTCCTATTGCTTACTACTGTATCTGTATTGAATCTTAGCAATATATGAAGTACATTATTCTTTTTTGGTATGCCCTTCAATACAAGTTCTTGATTATGCCTCAGTTGGTGCGGTGACTTACATTAATATTACCTTTTTTGTAGATGGAAGTTGGAATTGAGGATTGCCTGCATATTGAGTTTGAATACAATAAAAGCAAGTAAGTCGGCACTTCTTCAACCCCTTGGTTCAGCTTTGTAGCTGGTGCTTTTGAGAAGAAGAGAGATACCATGTGAATTGGTGATGTTGATGGATCTAATTTGTTTTGTGATTCAATCAACTGCCCTATATCTGGTCTCGTTGGGGCTGTTTAGCCTGTGTCTAAGATGAGTTACTGATTTGAGTTTTTCCACAAGAGGGGATCATAAGGACAACACCATTTTGGTGTTCATCCCATACTTCAGCTATGTACATGTGAATAATGAGTACTAATTTGAATTTTACAACTTTTCTTTACAATACTTTCAGGTATCATTTGACAGATGTCATCATAGGAAAGATATATTTTCTTCTTGTAAGAATCAAGATAAAAAACATGGATCTTGAGATCAGGCGTCGGGAGTCCACTGGTTCAGGTGCAAACACTCATGTTGAAACTGAGACTCTTGCAAAATTTGAGTTGATGGATGGGGCTCCAGTCAGAGGTACTAAGAATCTACTAATTGTCTTATACTCCGTATAGTTTTTGGCTACCTTTTGTTTTCTTATTTGCTAAAACTATCCATAGTTTTTTTTTTTTTTTTTTTTTTTTTTGGCAAGCTTATCTTTTTTGTGCAATGTATTTTTTGCACATAGCGTTGCCTACTGTTATTTGCAGTTTCTGAAAAATCTGACTAGGGCAATAAATTCAGGGGGCTGTGCAACTCTTTTCCTTTTTTCCCCCCTGTGCGGGATCTTAAATTTTGTGTACATGTTGATCTTTTAGAATACAATTCTGGACTTCTGGTCAGTTATGATTTAGGGTGTTCAAAGTAGTCTCCTTCTGTGCAGTTGATACAGCAATGATAAATGCTTTTGGGATCTGTTAGCACCTGATATTGCTAGCATTTTATGTGCTTTCTGACTCTCCCGTGGTTTCCTGTACAGGTGAATCAATTCCCATCAGACTGTTCCTTAGTCCATATGAGCTGACGCCAACACATCGCAACATCAATAACAAATTCAGTGTCAAATATTACCTTAACCTTGTTCTTGTTGATGAAGAGGATCGTCGGTATTTCAAGCAACAGGAAATTACATTATACCGCCTTGCTGAGAACTCTAGTTAGCTGTTCCTTTGGTTTAATCTATTTCCATGATAAGCTATAGGTTATTCACTTATTCTAGATGGGAAAGAAAATAGCTATTCCAAAATCTGGCAGATTGGAGTATTTTTTTTTTCCCTGAAAAGGTTGGGTCTAAAGCTGTATCTTTGACTCTTCGTGGTATATTTTTCCTTTTTTCTTTTTATTTTTTAACCCCGATTTTCCACTCTATGATTCTGTTTATCTGGCTTGTACATCAGGTGTGGTTGATGATTTAATAGCATATGTTGTTTTGAAATTGTATTCCCTATTTTCTTGTTATCGATTTTGCTTTTCTGAAAATGTATGTTGATGACTTGATGACACTCATATTTGGCTTTCTACCTCCTAATTCTATAATTATTGCTACATTGCTGTGATTCAACTGAATATTATGCTCCACGTTGATATCTTGAAGAGGAAAATGTTATGATCTGTGGAAAAGAACTCGAACAATGATCATAAGTTGTTTTTAACTCGATAGTAAGTGTCCAAGTTAATTCTCTTGCTTAAAAACAATACAAGTTTTGATCATTTTTTTGAAAGACTTCCTAAGAAGTGCAACTTTGCAAATGATAAGTTACTGAGTCTTATGAGTTATGACCATACCTAATAGGTCGATACCTTCTCCCCTCCACCCGTTTCCCTGATGAATACGACAAGTCTGAGTGTCCGACAACCCCCACCGTTCCCTGAAGAAAACCACCGCACCATGTCGCTGCCTGTGCACAGTGATGACTGAGTCAATGAGAAATTAAATTAAATTAATACTGATTTTGATTTTGTTTGTTTAAAGCTTAAGTTGGGATCATATTCATCTGATGATCAGCAATTAAATTTTTTTTGGTGTCAATTTTCCACTTTAATGGTCGACCTCTTAACTCTATCACGTGCTGCTTGAAGGAATGGAGGACAAACCATGTGAGAGTACTACCAATGCACTTTACTAGTTTCCTTTCTTTGAGAAAATTTCCCAATAAATTCCCTACCAAAAACTCGATAAAGTTATTTTTAAATGAAAATTTGTAAATTGCAGTCATTTAAAATTCATATTATGCAAATTGCACCCATTTAATTTTTTAAAATTCATATTATGCAAATTGCAGCCCAAAAGTTCGTATAAATTGTAAATTGCAGCCCAATTCAATTTTTACATCGATTTACATGTCGAAAAATCTTCGGTGAAGGTTTTAGGGGCCATTTTAGCCTTAAGAGTCCAAATTGAGCTCGAAATTAGCAAAAAAAAATAACATAAGTGTCTTGTTTTGCGTAACAAAAATATATCAATTTGTGGGAAACTGTAAAAATGAGACACTTACATTATTTTTTTTTGCTAATTCCGAGCTCAATTCGGTTCCTTAAGGCCTAAAATGGCCTCTAAAACCTTAAACGAAGATTTTTTTGGCATGTTAACCGATGAAAAGGTTGAATTGAGCTGCAATTTACAATTTAAACGAACTTTTGGGCTGCAATTTGCAAAAAAAATAAATTTAAATGGCTGCGATTCGTAAAATACGAACTTTAAATGGCTGCCATTTGTCGTGCTTGTTTAATTCATGTAACAATACATGAAGTAATACTCCGTAGAAGTATGTATGAAGTGGAAGTATGAGAAGTTTGGTTAACAAAATCATACGGAATACTTGTAGTATGAGGTCTTACTTTCTTCAAAATAGGAATGATTACTTACCTAATCGAGTAATCGGTAAATGAAACTTTTCCAAAATAACGAAATAACTCTGTAATTACATACACTACTTTGAAAAAATAGAGAAATTAATTTGCAAGTAAAATTGTTGGAAAGAACCATTAAATATTCTAAATTGAATAAGATTTACACATTTTTTAATTTTTAATTTTTTACTTTGGTTAGCTTGCATGATTGTGTAAACCATAATTGCTTCAAACACCCTTTTCCTTCTTTGTGTCCCTGGAAAAAATTGCACAATAAGTCACCCATTGTCTAATCCTAATACCACTCCAACTAAGCACATTTGGATTGTGGACTTGTGGTGAATGTTAGCATGGAACCTCTTGAAAACGAATGTGCATATTTGTAGACTAGAGTAGTATATATAGTGCACTCATAATAAACAATAACTCTAATTACATGGATAATTCATAGATTTGCACTAAGGAGCATTTCTTTGTTGTATATGAGAACTATATGACCTATGCATCATTGCATCCCTTTGACATATACAAAATTGAAATTGTTCTTTGACATTAATCAAGATTCAATTTAATTTCATAACACGGGAATGACATTGTGCAACTCATTAATGTGTCATTTGAATTGCGGGTCAAGTTTGATCCTATACCAATGTTCGTTGTCGATGATTCTCCAAAATAACCTAGTTTTCTTCTCTTAAATCGAGTAGTTTTTTGTTGTACAAACATTTAGTCTTACCACACGTTTTCTGGTTGAGCAAACATTCAGTCTTGCATGCCAAAGTAAACTCGTTTAATTATTTTTTCTATTAATCATATTTTATAGTTTAACACTTTCCATTATAAGTTGCTTGATTTGTGGAAAGACTGGAAACTCATATCAATTTTACTAAATTCATGGGAAACTTGACTTGCTATTTTTATTTTTTTTTATTTTTTTTGGAAGTATGTAAACTTGTTAGTTTTTATACATAAAGTGTGTTTTTATTATTATTATCAAAGATCTTTCCACAAAATTAATATAGTGTTACAAACATTCGTTAAACCAAGACCAACCTTAATTTTGCCTCAATTATTTGAACGATATTGTAAGTTAGCTTATAAATTGATAACATTAACTCATTATGGCATACAACTCCTTATGGTATTTTGGAGATACGATCCATTAACAAGAATCACAACTCGAATCAATTTTATTTTATCTTAAATCAATCCAATCAGATGCAAACTAGTCTAAACTTGTATCAATCTTCAAGTTAGTCAACTTATATACCAATATGTCGCCATATATTAGCTTGTATACCAAAATGTCGCAGGTAATAACTCATACACGAATCTGTCACCAGGGTGTTAACTTTTATACCAATATGTTCAATTGGCCTTGAATAGATCCATAATTGGGTGCTTACGAAGTTTTTTTTTTATTTTATTATGATAATGTTCTTGTCAAAAAAAAAAAATATTGATTACTCCGCATTATTTAAAGTTAACTCTGCATTATTTAAAGTTAATTGTACTATTTTTTTTCTGCTAAAAAAAAATAAGTTAATAAATTATTATTTATAAAAGATACTAGGTAAATAAAAAGGGGAAAAGAATGAAATGCAAACTTGTTTAGGAGTTTTAGCCCAGAAAATAGTAGTAGCATTTGCAATGCAAAACTAACCCTCATCTTCTCTACTGTCGTGTCTCTCTTTCTCTCTCCTCTTTCTCTCTCTTCTTTCAAGGTTTGTTGATTTTTCCAGTTCTATCTATTCACTTTTTAAATCTTTAACAATTTGATGTTTTTCACTTCCCGATTCTTTGTTCAATATCCCATTTCAATTGATCCCTCAATTTTGTTATTCGATGATTAGGTGATTACTGGATTCATTTCGCTGATTAATTGGGGACAATTTCTAAAGCCGACATCGATTGATTTTTTTGCGGTTAGTGTTTTCAATTCTTGATTTTGATTGTATAAAGTAATCCCCAAATTAGGGTTCTTGATTAGTAATAGAACTTTAATTTCAGCTTTTTTGGTATGATTCTTGAAGAAAAAATTTAATTGATTGATCGGTTTGTTTGATTGGAATATGGAAATTGTCTTTCATTTCAATACTCGTGTTCTTAATTGGTTGGTTTTAGTAGGTCTTGGTTGTGTAAAAAGCAGTCATTTGGGAATTTTTAGGAGCTCTTGTGATTATGATTAAGAATTTAAAATAAATAAATTCAATAACTCAAAATGACCTTAATCGATCACCCCATCAATTTCGAGCTTATTCAATTGACTCAAGCTTGTTAAGTCGGGTTCGATCAGGTCGGGTTTGTCCCTCGAATCCAGTTTCATTGATGGATGGAAGGAGATGAAAGCATATAATGAGAAATTAGTTTGCCATTTTGCTTGTAGTATGTTGTTTATTATTTTAATTTCAGTTAATTAGAGTATATTCTTTCCATTAATCCAAATTCTTAGTTTGTTTATAATTGTTTGTATTATTTGTTGAAGTTTGGCATGTATTGTTGCTATTCATGATTGTTTTTATTTAATTGATTGTTTTGCGGAACACACCTCTGAAGAAGCACTGTGAATGTTCTTATGTTTGTGGAGAATTTTATGAAATGTGCCATGAAGACCATGTTTTTATGCCTTTATCTCCTATGTGCTGTCGAGAAACAATGTAGTTTAGTTTCTACTATTCAATATCTTGATTATATGTAGTATTATACATGGAAGATTTGTGTACTTGTTGCTGTTATAATAGGAAGATTCATGTGCTCAGCTCCACATGGTTGGTGATGGTGTCCATTGGTTTGCTCCGCTGTGGAGTGTGGACATTTCAGTGATGACTGTGACTTGTGGCTGTATTGATGCATTTATGTGTTGTAGTAGCATTGATCGGCCATACAGAAATGATATATGTCATGTTCTCTTTTGTGTTTGCCCCTGACTTTACTCTTATCTTCTTTAAATATGTGGAAAGGGGGGAAGATAAACCAATGGTTTCTGATTCTTTTGGTAACAGTCCAAAGATGATGTTATGCAGGGGCTACAACAACTTTTGGTCAATATAGGTTGCCCTTTAGGTATATGTATGGGCTGACTTGTACTTTTCATGGGAGGTGTAGAGGATGGCCAACCACCCTCAAAGCGGCTGAGATTATCTTGTGCAGGATCAAGCAGTCTTTCAAGTAGCTTAAGAGCTGAAGAAACCGTAGCTACTGGCTCTTTGAGGGATTTGATGGCCCGACCTATACAATGCCAAGGGGAAGAAGAAGTGATTGGTTCAAGAGGGGTGATCAAAAGGCTAGAATTTGTTAGACTTATAGCTGGTGCTTTGTATGCTCTTGGTTATGAACGTACTGGTGCGTGTCTTGAGGAAGAATCTGGTATACCATTGCACTCTGCTGCAGTAAACTTGCTTATGCAGCATGTTCTTGATGGGAGGTGGGATGAAAGTGCCTCGATATTGCAAAGCATTGGTTTAGAGGATGAAACTATAATAAAATCAGCCAAATTTTTAATTTTGGAGCAGAAATTTTTCGAGCTTTTAGATGATGGAAAGACAATGGATGCTCTAAAGACGTTGAGGACGGAGATTTCACCTCTACATATCAAGACAAGCAGGCTACATGAACTTTCTTCTTGTATTCTTTATCTTCCGCAGAGTGAGAATGGATGTGCTCGCAAGGATTCGCTGAAAGGAAAATCTCGTTCAGAAGTTCTTACTGAACTGCAGAAATTACTTCCTCCCACAATAATGGTTCCTTCCAGAAGGTTGGAATATCTAGTAGAACAAGCCTTGAATTTGCAGCGTGGGACCTGCATATATCACAACTCATCTGACAGGGAGATGTCATTGTATGCTGATCATCACTGTGGAAGAGACAATATTCCTAGTCGTACTTTGCAGGTTCGTATCTATTTCTAAGTTCCTCCTTTTCGCTTAGCTCCCCCCTTTCCTGTCCTTATTCTCTGCGAAATTGGGCTCTCTACGTACTAAATAGTCATTGCTTTGTGTTTTGTTTCTCTTTGGTTAGATAGTAAGTTGGTATTTTGCCTCAAATTAGCCTACTTTAAGAGATATAGTTTGTGTGATTTACTTATCAAGCTGTCATGTTTACTTTGTCCTCATCACACCTCTCATAAAGTCTCATACATCAACTTTCATAAACCTTTTCACTTCATTTATCTCCCAAGTAATCCAACGGAAAAGAGGAATTTAATTCTAATATTCTGGCAGTTGCATGGCTTTATTTATCAGGTTATGGACCTGATATCATTGAGTGTTATTGATCTTTTTATGAACTAATAATCAATGGACTCGCTAATCTTTCTTAACCAGTTGATGGTTAGGTCCCCTTTAATTTCCTTCTCCATCTTGCTATGTGTTAGCTTTTATTCAAATTTTTCCTCTCATTTTCTTCTAACCTAGCCGTAGCCAGGTGCTGTGTTACCTGTCTTCCATCCACCGGTAAATCTCTTCCAATTTTTTTCTCTTTGTAATTTTTTTTTGCTGGTAATCTGGTATCAAGATCAAGACATATTGAGTTATTTTCTATTGTGGTGCCAGTCACTCTTGGTACTGATGTTTATCTGGGTGTGAACTTAAGTGAAAAATTTTGGGCTGTTACCTAGTTGAAGAGGTTTAGAGCTCCTGTGTAGAAGCTAGTTTGACTTTAATGCAGTCCTGTGACTTCTGTCTCGGAGCTTCAGCAGGGATTAGATTGGAGATGATCACAGTGAACAATGGGTTGTTGAAGTTTATATAAAGACTGGGACACAAATTCAAGTGTTTTTTTTTTTTTTTTTTCTTCTCTCTCTTTTCATTTAATCATTGATGAGGTGTAATGCATCTTATAGAGGATGCCTGTCGTATTTCTGAGATTCAAGGCTTACCTTTTTTTTTTTTTTCTCAAACTTGAAATATTATTGTTTGGTAGAGACATATAGTACTTGTCACTTTATGTTTTTCCCTTCCCTTGTTGCTCCAACCCAAATGCAGATCTACATATTTGGTTGACTTATATTATTTTGGTTAATTCTTATTTGTTAAACATAGCTTCATGTTAATGTCCAACATACAAATGGCTCAGGTAAAAATGTAAAATTTGATATTTTTTTTATTTTTTTTTTTATTTTTTATTTTTAGAAAGAGAAGAGGATTTTTTGCATATATGTCATCTTATGTGATCAGCGGATCATACTTTATACTTGGTGTGGTCTCTTAGTTTCTGAATATATCACTGATCTGTTTGTGGTTTTGGATCCCCATCTTCTCCCCTGTCTGGGGTGTGTTCTTCTCTTATTATAGTTTGAGAGAATGACATTTTGGCACTCTTGTGATTTCACATTCAGATGTGACTGATAGCCTTCTTTATCCAATGTCGTGATCTGAAATTTATGGATCTGTTTGACTGTTATATGAGCAGATTTTAGAAGGGCATCAAGATGAAGTATGGTGCTTGCAATTTTCTCATAAAGGGAAATATTTAGCATCAGCATCAAAGGATCGATCAGCTATAATATGGGAGGTAAGCTGCCTCTCTCTCTCTCTCTCTCCACTGTTAAGGGCAAGGAGTTGGGTGTCAGATAGCCAAATGACTCAACTTAATTTTTCTATGTGTAAGATGTGGGCTTTATCCTGTGAGTTACCAAAATGAATTCAAAAGAGGGTGATACCAAAACTAGCAAACAAGTCAAGCCTAAATGCTTGTGTATGTATGGTGTGAACACATGCAAAACTAAAATCTTTTAGAATCAGGAACTTGTTTTATGAATGTGTAACCCCACAAATCCACAATAGACTCCTTGTTTCTGATATTCTGTACCTTTGGATGTTTGACACTTACACCTATGCTTACAATTCATATTTCTGTGAGTCTTGTCTGTGTAACATAGGTAAGTATTATTAATTGACGCAGGTCGGCGTAAATGGTGAAGTTGCGCTTAAGCATCGATTATGTGGCCACCAAAGACCAGTTTCTCAAGTTTCATGGAGCCCAGATGATCAACAGCTTCTCACCTGTGGGGCAGAGGAGACGGTGCGGCGGTGGGATGTATTATCTGGTGAATGTCTTCAAGTCTATGAGAAGGCTGGGATTCCTGTTGTCTCCTGTGCATGGTTCCCTGATGGGGAGTCTGTCTTTGCTGGCTTTTCGGATAAAAGCATAGGCATGTGGGATCTGAATGGAAAAGAACTGGAGTGTTGGAAGGGACATCGAACAGTTAAAATTTCTGATCTGGAAATAACTCATGACGGAAAACAAATCATAAGTATATGCAGAGAAGCAGCGATTCTACTCTTGGACAGAGAAACACAATTTGAGAGGTTGATTGAGGAGGACCAAGTTATAACTTCATTTTCTCTCTCAAATGATGGGAAATTTATACTGGTTAATCTTCTTGACCAAGAAATCCATCTTTGGACCATAGATGGCGATATTAGGCTTGTAGCCAAGTACAAAGGCCATAAAAGGTCCAGGTTTGTGGTAAGGTCTTGCTTTGGTGGCCTAGAACAATCTTTCATAGCCAGTGGGAGCGAAGATTCACAGGTGTGCTCTCTTTTCTGCTGTTTTTTCTTTCTTTCTTTCTTTATTTTATTTTATTTGATTTTATTGAAGGTCTATTTATGATTGCCCACTCTGTAGACTGTAGTATTTGAGTATTTCTACCATTGGTTATCCACAAAAGGGATACTGAATCCTGGTTAATTAAGAGATCGGTAAATTTTATTTTTCATTGAGCCTCTTTATTATAACCTTTACCTTGTCCTATAATAGTACTCCAAGCGTGCTGCTGATGCACTCAAAAGGTTGTGAAGTGATGGTGATGCTTATTTTGGTTAATGTGTCTGCATAAGTAGCATTGTGAGAAATGTTATTCTTGTACTCGTTGAAATATCACAATTTAGCAAGAAGGTGCAGTTTTTGTACTGGCTCCATGACGTGTCTGCGAAGATTATAAGCATTGTTGTTTGTTTTATAAGATTGTGTTGTTTTGTCAAGTCAGGCTGCAATATCTCTCATATTCTTCGTAGTTGTGTGCTTTTGTTGTTTGTCCAACTTGTGTTTTTGGCTGACTGAACATATTGGATTTGCTGATTTTCATAGTATTTCCATTCATGCTTTTGTTAAATTTGTTTCCCATGGCTCCTTCATAGCTGGTTTTTGTCCCTATTCTGACCTCTATATAATTTACAATAATGAGGATGCTTATAGATATTATCAGAGGAAACTGTTCTATTGGGTATTATATACTTAGTAGTTGCTGTACTTTGAACTCCTATTTACTGCTTGATCTGATATAAGACGATATTAATATTTTGAAATATATCTGTAGGTTTTTATATGGCATCGAAGTTCAGGACAACTTGTAGATATATTGCCAGGTCACTCTGGAGTTGTCAACTGTGTTAGCTGGAATCCAGTGGACCACCACATGTTAGCTACAGCCAGTGATGACCGTACAATACGGATATGGGGCTTGAATGGAGCAAATATGAGGCGTAGTGTTTGTCAGAGCAATGGCACCCATCAATGCAATGGAAAATTATGAAAGCTTTCCTACATACAGCCAATGGAAAACGAGGCACGTTACCTTTGAATTTATTTCTATTCTTGTAAATTTTCCTTTGACTTGTCTCAAGTGAATATTCATGGTGATAAAATGAGGATTATGTTGTTTTTATGACAATTGTTTTGATGTCTGGTTCATTTTGGATTCTGAAATCGTTTTTTCCCTTAATGTGCTGATAATTCTTTTAGTGAACAAATGGAAAAAAAAGATATAACACACAATTTCTGTTAGACTTCATTATCAATATTAATTTTTAAAACCTCTGAAGTGTTTTAAGTAGTTTTTTTAGATTTTAAAAAAAGGAATTTAGAACTGAAAAGGGCACACCTGTTGCTAAATTGGGTCTAGGATCAAATGTATTCATTATATTAAAGGTCTTTCAGATGGATTGATCCATAGGATTTTTCTTAGCATTCTCTAATGGGAGATTGCACCGATTTGCAGGATTTCCGTTTCTCTGTTAGATTATTTATAATGCAGCTGGTTCTTGTAGATTTAGTCTATGACTCTATGTAGATGCGTAGGAACTCTGTTTCTTGCCTGCAGAATGCACAATGCCTGCCATTGTGTTGGGGGTAATTGAATGAGATGGTGATGATGATGTTCAAATAATAGTCATTAGACTAATTACAGCTTTAACTTCTTGGTCTTCATGAAATTCTATATTGTGCTAACAAAAACTGTGTACAAACCCTGCCAAAGTCATAAGCTTGGCCCTTGTGAAGTCTAGATATGTTCCATTTTTACAATTCGGAATTTGAAGGACTCATATGCCGTTCTGGGTACACCATTATACAACACCTCTCAACACTTTGTTACTCACACGAGTTGTGACAAATATCTGAGTTGCCATGGCTGTCAGGCACAGCAGTAAGAAGTATTAGTCAATGAGCGTAGAGGTTACAAATAGGTGGTTCAACTCCGGTTTGGTTTAGGTTAGTTTTTTTTTTTTTGAAAAGCGGTTTAGGTTAGTTTGTTTTGAATCATATTCGAGTGATGTGTCATTTAATATCAGTTCGGGTTGGTTGGAGTCTATGTAGCTTAATATGATAATTACTTATAGGATTTATTGGTTACAATCATCGCATTAATTTTGGATCAATTTGAATCAATTGCAATTCTGGCTCTTAACTATAGTGATAGTTGTATGCCTTATGATCAAGGATATTTGAGATTTTTTGCACATGAGTTTTCTCAATACTCGTATCTATTAATAGGTGCCGAGATGACTGAAATGGGTGCTTGCATCCTTCCTCTCTTCAAACCTCAAGTTTTAGAATTCTATGCCTATGTGCCTGTAAGAGCATGATTTCAGGAAGTTGTGGTGACTGAATGTGGGTGGTCTAAGAGAGGAGACGACAGAGAGATGTATCTTAAGCCATTGTATGCTATTTGCAATTTGAAAATCCGGTGTTTATATATAGTACCTTCTCCCTAGGCAACATCAGCAAGAAAAAAACTAGAAAGCCCAAAATAAGTAGAGAAGTTGATTTACAATAGAAATCTCTGAATCAGTTACATTATTTAAGCAACACTGAAAGAACTGACAGCGTTCTCGACAAACTTCTTAGCACCCTTGAACCATCTCTTGTCTCCAGCCTGAGCCTTGCAGATGTAAAGCTTACCATCCTTGACAGTGGCTGTAATTACTTGGTGTTTGCCACCCTCATCACCATCGGCTGTTCTTGTCAACACAGTGATGCTGTAGTATTGTTTCCCATCAACCACTGGGGTGCTGCTTTCAAGGACGTTTGCACTTGCAACAACACCTGAATCGAAACCACCCTGCACACAAAAAATTACCAAATAGTAATTAGAAATATGGTTCCTCCTTTTTGTCCATGAAAAACTAGGTTAGAACTCGAAAAACAGCCAAATTTTTTTCTAAGATTAATTTTTGTTGGGAAATAATTTTTTCAGTATGAAAACTTATTTTTAGCTCTTGTTATCTGGAAAATAACATGTTTAAGCACTCAAATTTCTGCATGCATGGAGAATACTTTGTAAAACTAAGGGTTCGATTACTGTGTACCACTGAGAACATGCCATTAAGATTTGTAGAAAAGAAAAATATGTTAAACAAGGCAGTAGTCTGCAATGATGAAGGATTACCTCAGAATCAGTCTGTCCGAAATAGGCTTGTTTGCCCAACAAGTAGTCCACCTGTAGTAACAAAAACATGAATTAAGTTTTCTTTTCAGAATCAGGTACAGAAATGGAACAATAGTGCTAGGAGGCTAATGTAATATTGCAAAAAGGTGAAATTACTTGGGAAAGGAATTGCTCAGGGGAACCATAGTCTGTGATGGATTTCTTGTCAGTGGGGGTGACCATGACAGCTAAATTGCTGGTGGCATCGAAGTTGTCCTCGAACCTCAAAATTTGTCCAGGGTACTCTACCTCTCTGCTTGGGTTCCATTTTGAAGGAACCAACAACTTGAATCCATCACCGTTGTAGGGCATGAATTCGGTGTTAGTCTTTGGCTTCCCAAATACATTGGCTGCAATTCAATATTGTTGACTAGTAAATCAGAAATCTGAAAAAAGCTGCTTGCAGTTTTACACTGAGCAGACTAAAAGGTGTAAGTTGTACATCTAAACTCTAAACTCTCTAGATGCCTCAGCAGACTAAATACTAGATTGTGGCTATGAATATTAAGCTGATTTTTTTTAAGTTAACTCTTGTCTGCTATCAACTTGAGTTGTTTAATCCAGCTTTTCTGAGAACTTCAATTATATTCTTGTATAGCATATATAAACCTTCTTTATGAACACCTTCATGCTTAGCATGGGCGGATCTATGTTAGAAGGATTCGTCTCCGGATGACAATATAAACACCATTGATCTGTTACTGTAATACAATCAGAGGACTTGTCCTAAGTCATCATTCTTTTATGTGTCAAGTATACCATTATAAAGTACCTAAATTCATCATTGATGTAAACTATATATAAAGTTGGAAAACTGAAAACGATTCAAAAGAAATCAGTTTTTTGAAGAGCACGCAAGTAATTACCAGCTTCACCATAGGCTGCATCAGCAGGGGAAACCTTAGAGCCAACAGCAGCAGCACCAATAAGAGCAGTAAGGGCCAACCGCCTTGACACACCGTCACTGACAGAAATAACCTCGTCTTCTTGATTCTGAGCCTTGCAGACGATCTGGTTAGGCTTATTGCTTGCGACCTGGTATTGCTGCATGGCTCTGCCAGCAGCTAGACCAGTGTTGGCTGCATGGTGGTGTAAGAAGCATCCAGTAGTTGCCATTTTCTTCCATGTTATCGCGCACAGAGTCATGATTCACTAACAACTTACAACTCTTTCTCTCTCTTTGTTTTTGTTGCTCTTGTGAATTATTTGTGGGTGTGAAAGAAAGTATAAGGTTGTTATGTGATGCTGAAATTTGGAGGAAATGGTTTTAAGATATCAGAGTTGGATGATGTAAAGATTAGATTATGAGGGAAAGATAAGGTTGTTGAGGACTCTATTGGTTCCACGTTGGCTTCTAATGGCCCACTTTAAGGCATCTAGATGACTAGATCTTTCTTTGTCCCTCTCTTTCTCTGGCTCCTGATTTTCTGACCATATATACCGTCTACTTCTACTTCTACATGGGGGTAGTCCCTAGAAGTATAATTTCATCCAACGTGGAAAAGGGGTGTGAAATATGAAGAAAAATTTGCGAAATATTACTCCCTCTGTTTCTAATTAGTTTATACCAATAATACCATTGTACTTTTGTGAGTAAAATTGTATAAACTTGTACGCAAATTATCACTAATATGTAAGAAAAGTAGTGCGGAGAACTAGTCAGAATTGTGTATGCCATGCAATTCATGTGAGATCTTGTTGAATTTGTTTCAAGGTATTTTTTTAGAATATCATGTAGTACATTCATAATTTTAGTATAAATGGAATAGGAGGTGTTTATGTTTAAAGACATGGATTGGAAACATGGAAAGGCAAATGAGACAAATAAAAGGGGATTGATGGAATATCTATGATATTAGTGATGATATACGTAATATAATCAAAATTGGGAATTTTTTTTTTATTATTGAGAAAGTCACAAAAAACAATGATCTTTAATTTTGATTGTCATCCTAAAACCTTGACAAATCACTAAGTCAAGTGAGACTGTAGAAACACCCCTCCTCCCCACGCCCCTTTTTATTATCCCTTCTTTTGCACCCTCTTCCCCATCTTCTAAGCCTTTCTCTTTGGTTTCTCCTCCTCTCTCTTTGACGGGATGTAGATATAAGGAATTAGGATTTTGCAATCGTCGCTACTTCATTCGTAGTCTTTATCCTTGCTTTCACTAGAGCGTGTAAATTTCCGTACCTTAATTACCTCTCCGTTCTCTCACATGCTAGGTAATGGGGGTTATTTTCAACTAATTAGAGAGAATAATTAACCAAGTAGGGAGAGCTAGTCTATTAAAGATAAGTGAATTCAAAACCAAAATTTAGAACTCTTGTATATCTTCTTGAATATAAATCATTACCTCTTATCTTCAAAGAACAAAAGCTTATAGTGAAAGTTCATTGAGGTATGTTAGAAATTTTTACCGCCCGTAATTTAATGTGTTTAATGTACACTAATTGAGTATATAATAGTGTTTTTTTTTTTTGTCAAATGGTGTGACAAAACACATATGTCAAACGACTTACACCGTATTCAATTCATATACCGTTTAAAAAAAGTTTTTATTTTTTAAAAATAATTTTAACTCTTTATACTTCATATTATTGTTAATGCTTCTCAAAGTATGAACTTTTGACAATTTTTTTTTAACTTTGGCCACTTAAACTAATTGATGATAAAATTGACGGACCATTTTGCCGAAGAATTTGTATAGATTATACAGGCAAAAATGTCTTACAAGAAAAAGAAAAATCAGGTTAAGACAATAAATAAATTTTATCTATACTTGACTATATCCAAATATGAACCACCATTTAAACCAATGAATTTTAGTATTTTACCAATAAAAATAAAATAAAATCCATCCATTCATACTTCATTTCACACAATTCACATATATGTCACCTATACTTTCCGGTATTTATTCAAAATTGATTTTCATTGGAGGTGGAGACTGGGCCATTTAAATTGGGTTAATTCAAATTGTGTCATTTCCGGTTAAGACTTCTTTGAGTTATTTTTGGGTTCAAATTGATTGAGGCCAAGTCAAAACATTTACTGTTTCATTGCCAATATG